TTGGGACAGAGGCCTGAAAAGCTAAATTATTAACTACCTTGCTGTTCATGGAGAAAGTTTGCTCATCCCTGAAAATAACCAATCACTTCCTTACTAATGGTAATAATTTATTATATATTAATATCTTACATATGTAAAAATCTGTTTATGCCTGTTTATTTCATTCCATTGATATGCCCACTTAATTAGATGCTAAGCCTACACTTACTTTGTTTTCAAATTCACTTTGTAAGTATTTTTCACTTCAGGGGACACTTATTTATTTCACAAATACATACCATCTACTATGTGTGAGACATTGTTCAAGGTCAGGTGTGCAAAAAGACACACTCCCTACTCTCTGTTTCAGTAGGAACAAATACAAATGCATATAAAAATGTCACGTGGGGCACCTGGGTGGCTCAGAGGGTTAAAGCCTCTGCCTTCAGCTCTGGTCATGATCCCAGGGTCCTGGGATCGAGCCCCACATCGGGCTCTCTGCTCAGCAGGGAGCCTGCTTTCTCCTCTCTCTCTCTGCCTGCCTCTCTGCCTACTTGTGATCTCTGTCTATCAAATAAACAAATAAAATCTTTAAAAAAAAAAAAAGTCACGTGGGGATGTAAGTTCGATGAAGACAAATGAGGCAAGTGAGGGGGGAGCAGAGGGAAGAAGTTGTTACACACAGGGTGGTAAGGGAAGGCCTCTTTGAGGGCTTCTAAGCAGGAACATGAAAGAAGTGTTGAGGATACCTGGAGAACCAGTACTACCCCAGGCAGATGCAAAGGTGCTGAGATGGGAGTTCAGGTGTTTTCTCATAATGACCCAAATCCCCTGACTTTGGAACAATCATCAGTTACAAGGGTAAAGGAAAGCGTTTCTGCCCCCCAGACGCCAAGTTTAGCCACACTGGAACACAGACCAAAGTAGGCAGCTGCTTAATGCTCTGAAATACAGTGGAACAACTTTTCATGAGGCTAATACCTTTGCTGCCTGCCTAAATCTGTCGTATTTACAGAACACAGGTACTATCTGTCAGGAAATCAGAATGGAATTACGTGTGGGAAACCCAGCACCGGCTTATTAAAAACCGTCTTTCAGAAAGATTTTCTTACATGGGTCTTAGCAAGATAAAAGACTGGGTGCGGTGCATAAACACTGAATTTAGGAACACTGAAAAACGTTAAAAAAAAAAAAAAGTAAAAAAAAAAAGACAAGGAAGTACAAATAGGAATATGAAAGATACTAATTAAGACTCTTTAGAGAGATTTACCCACGAGCAAACAAAAAGAACCTGGTAGTAATGACTCCAGCACAACATGAAGGGAAAGGTGGAAGTTGGTATGAATGCAATTACATATTAAATGCAATTACATATTAATATTTCTTCCACCTTCTAAGTAAGACTGTTCTCCAAACTTCTACTAAAATAATCATCTGCCTTGTGCTGGCTGGATCCCACCTGAAACCCCATCCTAAACGCCATCCTTTCCAAACACTGACACAGAGAGAACCTGAAAGTGTATTGAAAACAGGAAGGGGAACAAATGTGAGAAGCTTTTATAGAAAAAGCACCAGGTCAGACCCAAGCAGATTCCCCAGCTCTGCTTCTGGCTAGGTAAGTCACCCTATGCCAGCGAATTAATCTCTCTAGAACTCAGGGGCAAAATTATGACGTCAGTCTTAAGTTCTTTAACTTGCATGACTTTATTATTTGAAAGTAGATGACCAGTAAGAAGAATATGTTACTTATGGTGAATTCCTACCGAACTGAATCATTCTATGTCTCTAGAGAAGGAAGAAATAGGCAAAAGCTCTAATCATAAAAATTTGTCTCAATATTAAAAGCTTTTCACAATTAAAGTTATGCAATAATGAAACCGGTTATCTCAAATAAGAGTGAGCTGACTCCTGCTGGAAATACACAGGCAGGTGCTGAAGAGTGTGAGCCATGGGACTGCTGGTCTCTTCCAACCTTAAGAGTCTATGATTCTTGCAGTCCAATTCGCCACGTACCTTTCCTTCAGATCACCTTCACCATTCCCCACTGACATAAATCAGCTGTTCCAGGATATCATCGTTTCACGGGAACATCTGCATTTAGCCCATCTTTCTGTCAAGTCACTACTGCGCATGCCCAGTTTCAAAGATGGTTTCTGGCTCTTGTTTTGGGTATCCTCAACATTGTTATTGGTATAGGTATTGAGGAATCTTGTTGAAATTGCTTCAAAGCCTACATATATCCTTGTAATAAAATACCAGTGACGTTACCATGATATGGATAAAATAGAGGATATTCCCAGCTCTCTGAGTAAGGGCTACACCTGTGCATATGCATTATCTCATTGAAGCCTCCTGATAACTCTATGAGGAATGTGTTATTGGATCCATTTACAAATCAGGAAACTGAGTTACAGGGGTAAGTCCTTTGCTCAAGGTAACTGAAATAGGAAGAGGCAGAATCTGGACTTGAACTCTGGTCTGGCTAATGCCTCTGAAGTACCTACTCTGAACTACTATATTCTCCTGCAGTGGTTCCCAAAGTGTGGCCCCTGGACCGGCAGCTTCAGCATCACCTGGGAACGTGTTAAAAAGGCAAAGACTCACACCTACTGCACCAGATACTCTGGGGTAGGGCTCAGCATTCTGTTTTAAGAAACAATCCAGACAATTCTGATGTTTGCTGAAGTTTGAGAATTACTGATCTACACAACTGAAAAGTTGCCTAGGAAGCCACTTCTACTTTATTTAAACAATGTTTTGTATTTGAATTTGAGTATGCGGTGGCTCCTTAATCTCTCTTCAAGGGCAGAAAGACAAAGCCCAGTTACGGAAAAGCCAGGTTTCCTGTCCCTTCCCTGAAATAGGAAGGGTAATTCTTTGTCATTCTTGGTGAAGGGATAAAGGAGCTGCTGTTTTAAAATATAAATAAGAGCGAAACCAGAAGGAAAGAAAAAAATGCTTTTTACAGTATAGCTAAGAGGTTGTGGTTAGACATAATGAGTGAATAGACTAAAAAGATCTCAAAATTCCCTTCAAGCCTTTATATAATAAATAACATTAAATGTCTACTTAATCAAAATCGTTAAAATAAAAACCCTTCCTAGCATGCATGCTTTCTTTATAAAAAAGAATACATACATCGTAGCTTTAGAAATACATCAGCAGCAAGGGTATTTCCAGAGTGGCATAACCAACGGCTGTTACCACCAGCTTTCTTTGGTTTAAAAGATAAAACTCTTTGTAGCTTTGCAGCTCATGCTGCCTAGAATATGACCTTGGTCCTGTCAAACTTACCTGTAGTCCATAGCATTGTGCAGCTCTGCAAATCAATCTATAATCTCTTTAATATCTTCCCGCACATGCAGTTTTAAAGCTCAGTCATCGGCATAAACCCATCCTTTACTTCAAGGTCTCTAGCGATCCTTGTAGCCCAGCAGAGGCAAGGGCTTTCACAAGGGGGTCAATATGAGGAGTATGAAAATTGTATGTAAAATAAGATGATTTCTCCACAGGTGCTAGTTTGCCTGCCAAAGGCAACGAGTGGCTTTTCATTCTATAGAAACGAAGTAAAGTAAGGACTGCCTTACTCCACGCATGTGTGAACATGGTGGAGTTGGCTTAGACGACACCACATGGAAGGTAAAATAGGCGCATTTCACCCACAAGGCCCTTATGTCTGAGTCTGAGTCAGTGTTTTCTTATATCCCTTTTGTCTTCCTTCCTTCCAAAAAGGATTGTAGGGAGGCAGTCAGCATCCATTCTTCTAAGACAGTGGAAATATGGACCTCATTAACCCCCCTTTCCTCCAAATACATCTAAATAAGACATGTGTAAAGCTACCAGTACTTGGGAATGTAGAGAGTCAAAAAACCTGGGACAGCCCCCATAAGTCATCACAGGTCTAAGGATTATCTATACACTACCTTCCATTAGTGAAACTTTTTTTTTCTAAAAATTTTATTTATTTATTTGACACAGAGAGAGACATATCACGAGTAGGCAGAAAAGCAGGCAGAGAGGCGGGGGCGGGGGGGAAGCAGGCTTCTACTGAGCAGAGAACCTGATGTGGGGCTCAATGCCAGGACCCTGAGATCATGACCTGAGCCAAAGGTAGAGGCTTAACCCACTGAGCCACCCAGGCACCCCCCATTAGTGAAACTCTTATTTGAACATTATATCCTATCATTTCAAAGGGAAAACTAAAGATCAAAAAAGCTAAACTAATAGACCCTATATGTTATGACAGTTCAACATGCCAAAAAATGTTGAGGGGAGGCAAAGATATACCAACTAAAATTAACTGCTACCTATAAAGAAGAGTCCTTCCTTCCTTTCTTCATTCATTCATTCATTTACTCAATTTTACTCAAAAACACATGCTAGACAACATCTAGAAAATGCCAACCAGCTCCACATGTCCTCTCCAATTCCCCCAAAAGTCCAAACGGAAGGAAATGGACTCAGTAAAAAGGAGGACCTATTTTAACTGACGAGTCAAACCAGATGATTCAATTTCTGGAGCTCTCTCCCAAAGAAAACTTTGAATAGGCAGCACTGAGCAATGCTAAGCCTTGGGTAGTCTGGTCAAGTACCTGAAGTCTGGTCAAGTCTGAAAGCTGTGGTCAAGGCCTCCCGAGATCTCTTCTATCTATGATTAGTAATTGCATCCATGATAAGGGGCTGAATACAAATGGATCTCTGCCAATGTCTTCCCCATTCCATGTAAAAAGGCCACTGAAATTCCAACTAGTAACAAACCGATAGAGCCAGTGGTAAAAGTAGAAATCGATACCTCGTTTCTATACACACTACACTGGGTATTTTGTGTGTATGAACTCATTAAATCTCATTCACAATCTTGCAAAATGCATGCACAACTTTTTGAAAGTCATGGATTACATCCAAAGTTGGAGGGTTTAATTCCAAATTTTCATCCAGATCCTTGATCCTGTTTAGTCAAAATATGTATCAAAAACATAACTAACCATGAAGCCGTGTTTAATGGGGAAAGTGTAACTCACCCTTGCCATGTCCACCAAGAAGTTCTCAAATAATTTCCAAATGTGGTTACTCGTGTAGATTTCTTTCATTTCCACTTCAGTGTCCACATAACAGTGATTAACAAAATTCACATAAGCAATTTTAACCTGTGCAAGTTTCAAATACAAAAGAAAGTGAGTTTTCTTCTTTGTTCATTTTCAAATAGCAAATGTGAAAAGTTAAATAAAATCTGGGTTAGTTATTATCGTGGATTATAGCATGTTTTATGCCTATGTAAGAAAGCATTCCCATATCCCTTCTCTTAACTAAAACCCTCCAGGCCCTGACCCAGTAGCCTATTCCCCTGCCCCTAGTGACTGGAATGCACAAGTACATCAGACTTAAAACCAAGTCTATCCTAGTTGAGACACTGAGAGTCAAATGCGCTCCCTTTCCCTGTCTTCCTTTCTCTTCCTCTCCCTCCCTTCTCTCTGTCTCTGACATTCTGTCATTCTCTCTCTTGTCTCTGTCATTATCTGCTTCTCTATCATTCTTTCTCTGTCTCTCTCTCTCTGTGATTCTTGCTCTCTCTCGCTCATTACGAAAATGGAACAAGTTAAACCCAAACTCCAAGAGGCCATCTTCCGCAAGTACATGGAGGACAATTATGCTCAGAAGAAAAGAATGAGGCAAAACCACAAACGAAAATGGCACAAGAGATGGAAACTGACATTGTTTGAACCTCTTGAGCCATCAGAACAACTATCCTTCAAATTCCCGAATACGGGAGCCAAAAAAAGTCCTTTTATTTAAACAGTTTAAGTTAGCTTTCTGTCATTTGCAATCAAGAGAGTTCTAATACAATGTTTAAATATGTTGATTAAATAGTACTTTATTGCCATTCAGAAATATTTGTTACTATTTCTGAGAAGAAACAGGCTTGAAGTTTAGAAAAAAAATCATATTGAGATGTAGCAACATTCATTCTCATATTTAACAAAATTCCTCATAAAGGACTGAGATGAGTCTCACCAACATAGAGTATTTCTAAAGTATGTAGGGGAGTAGTTTTTGTTTCTTTTCTTTCCCTTTTTTTTTTTTTTAATGAAAATGTGATGAGGGGCATCTGGGTGGCTCAGTCGGTTAAGCATTTGACTCTGGATTTCAACTCAGATCATGATCTCAGGGTCATGAGATCGAGCCCCAACTCATGCTCTGTGCTCAGTGCGGAGTCTACTTGGGTTTCTCTCTTTCTCTCTGCCCCTCTCCCCAGCTCACAGATACTCCCTCTCCCTCTCTCTCTCTCTCTCTCTCTCTCTAAATGAATAAATAAATGAATAAATAAATAAATAATGTGATGGGTGCTATAAACCACCCCAAGTGCATATACATACAAAATCATGTAAATAATTTCAAGGATTCACAGAATCCAAGTTAGAATATAAGGAATACAGGACCGGCTTTCATAAGGCCAAAAAGCAGATGGAGTGCCTCTGTCAAGAACTGATTGTAGGGTAGGGACACGTCAGAACCACTCAGTGCATGATCATAATCACCTTGACAGCAGCTTTATTTATTCACTGTTTGCTACAAGCCAAACACCTTCAGCATTTTGTATGTAATATCTTTCTTAGTTCCATCCTCCAGCAATCCTCTCAGTTACATACTATAATCGTTTCACTTTAAAATGGTGCAAATTGAGGATCACAAAGGTTAAATAACCTGCTGGAATCAGTCACAAATCTAGAAGTAATGGATCCAGGATTCTGACTTATTCTTTAATTCATTTGTTCCTTCATTCAAACCGTATTTATTAAGTATAGACTCGGGTTCAGGTAATACAATGGTAAAGAGAACAGCCCAGTTGCTACTCTCCTCACACTTACAATCTTGGGAAAGCATGTGAAGGATGCAGACCTTTATTAACAAAATTCAAATGCCAAATTTCAAATTGTAGACTCTTTGTGGGAGGTCAGGGAATGTTCCTTACAGAAGAAATGCTTGAATCAAGATAAGAAGGGTGAAAAGGAATAAAGTAAGTGAACGTAAGGGGCCAGAGTGGTGCGGTCAGAAAGACCAGAATGTGGGAAGAAGCACGGTCAGAATCGGAACCTCAAATACAGACAGAACCCATGAATTTAATCACTACAGTATTCCTTTCTTGGCCATCTCATTTCAAAGCAATCAAAGCATGCGGTACCCTTGGTATGAACTGTCAATAATTCCACAAAATTTCAGAAAAATATACTTTTAAGTCACTACATAGGACTACTGGGAAGTTAGGGAAGTTAACTTAATCTGACACCTTTTTAAGTTACTACGAATTAAAATGTTTGGATTTCTATCATATCTGATGCATCACCCATTTAAAAACTTTGCAACAATACACCACAACAGTAGAAAAGGAAGAGATTATTGCAATGTACATTCCTGGAAGCCTCATTAATCCTGTTGGCAGACAACCAATTTTTAATGAGTTTTTTCCCTATTATCAGAGGCAAACAAGGACAGAGCATAAAAAATAATGTGTGAATAAAGCAAAATGCGCGTCCATATTTCCAAGAATGCACTTATTCCATCAAGCAAGGTAAACCTATAGAGTCTAATAGATGATACTGCTGCACCATCCCAGCCCAGCCTATCAGTAATCGTGAGCTATTTATGAAGCATCTATTACATGCTCGAGAACATACCAGAGGTAAGAAGTCCAATCTCTGTTTTATCACATTGCCATACTTAGAATTTAAGAGACTCCTAGAGTAGCTTCCAGTAAACCCACAGTGGCTCTACTCTGAAAAAGTTTATCATCTTTCAGAGCTTCTTGTACAGCTAAGAAAGGGAACTTTATATGCTCTTTTAACTCTTCCTAATTATATAGTGAAGTACAATTTCTTGACTAAATACATTATCTCACTGTAAACAGTATGGGGGTGTCTGGCACTTCTGCACTCTGTATTAATAACAATTTCATGGCTGCTAAGCTTTTGCCAGGCTTACCTCGGGGACGCAGTCATCATGGGTCACAACCCTCACTATGTCGTCCAAGGGCAGAAGGGAATTGCACTTGATTTCAGTGTAGACGTTCTTCCCCTCTGTGCATGCTGCCAGCAGCTCCACCAGGGTGATGTGGTAGGCTAAGGGGCCACTCTCATCCCCTCGGTCTCTCTCTGAACACATCATATGGAGAAGGATGGGAAATGATGCTCTATCATTGTAAAATATCAGCACATCTTCACCCCCATTTATCAACTGAAATGATAATAAGAGAGTCTACATAGCAGTCCAAATGTTCGTCCTTGAAACTATTGCCAAAGATTTGGTCTATCTGGAAACACATGCATCTCTTTATAAAAAAAAAAAAAAACACACAGATAATATCGTAAAAGCAGAACTACACCAAGGCAGGAGGTAAAAAGATTCTAGTCAGATGCCAAGTGATTATTTATGAATACTATCAAAAACAGCCAGGGAGATAGGGGAGAGGTGGATGGGGACAGGAATTCAATGGCGTGGATGATAGTTAATCATTCCCCAGTGAGTTATCCCCTGAAATTAAACCTGCAAAATATTTCAAGAAAGTTGCTTCCCTCTACTTCAAAATGGAAGATGCCATTGCCAAGACATGAGAAATCTCCTTAAGTCTCATTTTACTAAAGCAGAGTACAATACCCCCACCCCCTTCAACAGTGACAGAATATAAAAGCATGTACTTTGAGCCAACTTGCAACTTCACAAGAATCTGGAAATTCCGTGTGTCATGGGCACCAGCAGAGAATGGAGGTAAAATTGGAGAAGAGAGAAATGGAGAAAAAGAAGATTTGAAGAGAGAGAGAAAGAAACAAAGAAATGAATAAGCAGGGGGTTTTAGGATATACATTTTCCTTCCTGTTTTGTTTTTACAATTTTATTGGAGAGTTCTAGCAGGTGGTAATTTTATTGCTCAAACTCCATAATATCTTACTGTCTATTTTCAGTACCAATTTTCTAATCCCAATAGGAGATATTTGGGGGATATGTTTTTTCTCTATTTTAATTAAATTGGTAAGAGATTTAAATCAATAAGACATCTGGCTTGCTTTGAACGTTTTGTGGAAAGAGAATGCATATGTGTCAAAATATGTATTATATGTCAACACAATATAATATTACAAATACTTCTTTCCACATAAAAACACTTCCCCTAAGAGGTGTCATAAATTTTTGCTAATTTTTATTTGCTACTTTCCCATTTTAATCCTTTCCTTGGTGATCATAATGCAAGGTCAAATTAGCTCCCACATTTCTAGGCAATGAAGAACAATTATGAGTGTAAATATAGATAAGGAAAAGGTAAATTTTACAAGTTTAAAATGTTCTTTAAAATGTTTAATAACAATAATTTGCATTAAAAATTCAAGGCTTTAAGCTGAATTAATTTTAAGATTTCTATGGGGCAGGAGGGACTCACATTACATCAATGTAGAAGCCCCCCTCCCTACTATAAATTGGAAGTACATAATTATGAAAATCTGCTCATATCAATATAATCTATTACATAACTGTTTGATAGCCACGGTTGAAAGCTGCCTTAATCCATACAGGCCTTTAGAGAACTATTAGGTCACAGAGCAATGATTTACCCAAATGGGCTCAATTTCTCCAAAGTACCACTTGGTTCCTAGTGAGTAACTTACTCATTGCATAAATCTCACTCAACGTCAAACATCACAATGAAGAGAGCAAAATAAATGAGGGGCTTCAACCATCTGTGTTTCTTAAATTTTCAACTTACATTTCCACATATAATAAATCACTGATGGCTAATTTCTATTAATTAACTCAATTCCCTTCAAACCCTTCTACAAATAGTAACAGAGAACACCAATTCTTTCTTTCAGGAATAGATCAAAGAAAGGCAGTGGGAAAACAAAGTTACAACCATCTTTGTTACAGCTTGAAAATTTTAAAAATATAAAAATGTGTCACTTTCATTCTCAACTATAACATTTCTCAGAATTTTGCTCTTTAAAATGCACAAATTCTTGTGCTCGCTTTGGCAGCACATATACTAAAATGCACAAATTCTTTAAGGATCAAAAGGAAAAATAAACTCGGAAAATTATGCAATCAACTTAATGGTACGTTACTTCACTAGACTTAAACAAAATATACTTGTTGCATAAGACATCAGGACGAAATTATTTTCCCCACCTATGTTGCGGGGGCTTTTCACACTACACATTTACAGAAAACACACACTCGCACACATGACTTATGTGAAGCTGTTAAAACGCAAACCGAGCACATACCTCTGTCATTACCATATCCTGGCATTTCTTCACATATTTACCATCTGCTTTTACAATCGTTTGCAGAAACCTCAGGTACTCCACATGGCGGCCGTGTGTCTCGATGCAATGCACAAAGTGTTGCACAACTCTCTCGCTGATCTCATTGCAGAGATGGTAATTGTTCATGAAGATGTGCCGCATGGTTTCTGCTTCCAGGAGCTAACCAGAGAGGAATATGCCCTTGTAATTCTGACAAGATCAATTTTCTGTTTTACAGTACTTACACTAATTTCCCTGCTTGTGATCAGTTTTATATTTTATGCAAAGCCATAGTGAGTTTCCTGGGCAAGCCTTCTACAAAATGCAATGAGCTCATTCACCATTAAAAGCAAACTGAGCTCAAAAAGGAATTTAGTTGGAAAAAAGAGTTATCATAAAGGTCAACGTGCTGGCGATGGGATTCTTTAGATTCATTATCTGTTACTCAAAGTTAGCTCTTCCCCTAGTATCCACTGACACATTTTACAGAGTTTTCCGTATTTCTCTCACTCATGGCACTGCCATTGTTATTGGTCCTACCACATTTTTCCCTAACGTTAAACTGTATACATATAAAGGAAATGGTCACTTGCAAGTAAAATTCAGGTAGTATTTCCAGTTTCTATGAATGCTTCCTTAATGTAAAAAAAAAAAAAACAAACAAACAAAAACCAGATTCACTTTTAGGGAGAAAACCCCTATAAGGAAAAAAGTAAGCTGGTGATGACTAATAAAATTCCATTCATCAATGTTGCTAAAATGAATTGGATGGACACTTTACTATCAATATTAGAAGTCACTAAAATACTTACACCAGGAGTTAAAAACAAATTCAGATGTTTATGAAGGAGAACTTGGTTCTGTGGATTTCCCCGGCAGAAATTCTGCAGGAAGGTGTGGGCCAGATTCATCACTTCGTTCATCTTTTCATCATTCTATAAGTGAAAGAGTAGTGATGAAACAAATAAACCATAATACAAAGTATTATGAAAAAGAATTTTCCTTCCCACATGGACTCTTTCTCTCTGCTACTGTGTTATGCTCCTCCTATGTGCCCTTTCTGTTTCTACACCTCCCCCGCAACCCTATAATCCCCGCTCTTACCATCAACCCCCCACGGTCTTCTAGATGTTTCTCACTTTTTCTTTATTTTTCCTTCTATTACCTGTCTGCTCCACTCTCTCAACCCCTCTTTGTTTCAGTCTCTCTCTTTCTTCCCAACCTCTCTGCTTGCCCACTACATTCTCCCATCTGCCCACGGCTGCATCTTCCTCCCCACCCCTGTGTCCAGTCTTGGTGCCCAGAGCTCATCTGTCCTGCCTTTCTCTCTCTCTGTCTCTCTCTCTGTCCCCTCAATCTCTCTGTTCCCTCCCTTTTCTGCTTCACCCCCATCCCTTTCATCCCTCCCTTCTCTGGGACTTGTTCTCTTTCCCAGTATTTCTATGTATATGAATCTTCTTGTTTCTTGTTTTCTCCTCTTTCCCTACCTTCTAGATCTTCCTCCTTCTCAAACTCTTCCCTTCCTGCTGCTTTTCCCAGAGTCCATCATCCCTCATCCTCTTGCCTTGTCCCTAGTCTCTTTCTTCTCTCCACTCGCTTTTCCTCTATTCCTGCCCCTCTGTAAATTTCTCTCCCTCTCTCCCCCCCATATATATATACATATATATATATACATATATATGTATATACATATATATGTATGTATTTCTGACCTCATCTCAAGCCTCCCCTCCTCCCACCTTCACCCTTTGCTATTTTTATTTTTTATTATGTTCAATTAGCCAACATATAGTACATCATTAGTTTTGTTTTTTTTTTAAGATTTTATTTATTTATTTGACAGAGATCACAAGTAGGCAGAGAGGCAGGCAGAGAGAGAGGAAGGGAAGCAGGCTCCCACTGAGCAGAGAGCCCAATGCGGGACTCGATCCCAGGACCCTGGGATCATGACCTGAGCCGAAGGCAGAGGCTTTAACCCACTGAGCCACCCAGGCGCCCCCATCATTAGTTTTTGATGTAGTGTTCAACAATTCATTAGTTGTGTGTAACACCTGATGCTCCTCACAACACGTGCCGTCCTTAATACCCATCCTTTTGCTACTTATCTCGTCTATTTCCACCTCTTTGTCTTACTTTTCCTCTTTGCTTTCTGATCTCCTCTATTCCCCAAACTTTTGGGGCCCCCCTCTTTCTGAACACATGTGCTCATAAGTTGCTTTCCTTATTCACTGTCATTTTCCAAAATCCCGTAACACTATCATTCACTTACAGGAATCTCAACAAGAAATTCTAAGTCTCAAAATTCAAAAAGAATGCAAACTTCTCTCCTTAATAGTAGCCTTTCAACAGTATTACTGAAACCATCTAAATTTTTTCTGGGTAGTTGATTATCCAATTTGTCATGTAGTCAGTGTCAGAGATACAAAATGGACTCATGTTTTGAGTAGTAGTTTTAATAAATAACTTAATGTTTTCTGTTTTTTTCTAAGAGTCTATAGTTTATGCCATCTATAACTAAACAAACAGCCCAAGATCATTAATAGACCCATTTCTTCATATATAAAATAGGGATGATTTAATTAGATGAGTAAATGAGACCAAAAATTTCATTCCTGACCTAAAAATAGTAAATTTTAATTCAAAATCTACTAACACTTTCCTTTATTTGTGTAATGCAGGGATGGTTCAAAGACATAGAAGAGACTTCAGCCACAGGAATACCCAATTCCCATTGAAAAACTGGCCAACACAGAAGAACATAGGACCAGTACCACTGTATTTGACATTTCTTTGAAACTCTCTTCTTGTTATTTTTTTTTTTTTTTTAGATTTTATTTACTTATTTGACAGAGAGAGATCACAAGTAAGTGAGGAGGAAGCAGGCCCCCTGCTGAGCAGAAAGCCCGATGCCAGACTCAATCCCAAGACCCAAGATCATGACCCAAGCCGAAGGCAGAGACTTAACCCACTGAGGCAAACAGGTGCCCTCTCCTCTTATTCTTTGTTTGTTTCTGCACCACCCAGTTATTAAAACTGAGCAAATCTATAAACATAATGTAGTAGTAAAATACTGAGCACCAAGTTTTATTATTAGAAGAAGGGACTCGATCATGTGTCCAATGCCCATGTTACAATATCAAAGATGAAATAATGTGGATAATAAATGCTGAGGATTTAATACCTTTTGTTATCTTTCAATAATTCTTTTATTGTATTCTGTGCCATAGAATGAATTATGCCACCTAAGGAAGGGTAGAACTGAGTTTATGTGTTAAAAAGTAAGCTGAATTGGGGAGCAACCCCATTGGACAAGTGTAAGTCCAGGTGGGAAGAACATCTGCACCAGGAGAGGCCTGGCAGGGCAGGGAGACCACCTGGGAGATAAGGAGGGCACCCACCCTGGGGCTGTCAGAGCCTGAGTGAGGGGCAGAGGGTGTCCCTATGGAGAAGGGCCCACTGCAGTGATGGAAGATTAGGAAGATTAACTATTTACAGTATTAACAAGTGAGTAAATATTTCAACACACACATATGGTCCCCGGCTTTGTCTATTTAGGGGGCCTAGAAGGATAAAACCCCAAAAGCAATACATACACTTAGCTCTCAGAACTTTGCTTCTACACATCATTCTCCTCCCAAATGGAACTGGAACCACTTAAAGAAATGTCTGATTCCAGAGTTGGAACCAAAAAAAAAAAAAAAGAAAGAAATTCAAGGTGATCCTGGAACAATGATGCACATGTTAGAGGACAGAAAAGCTAGCTCAAAGGGGAGCATCTGAGAATCAAAGCGCTAATCAGAGATGCCTCACATAACCTAGGGAACAAAATGAGCTCCCATAATTTACACAGATTAAAATAAATAAGTGAATAAATAGATTGAAAGTTTGATGACGAAGGGGATATTTACTCAGTTTCAAAGAAGCCTTCCACAAAATACTCATTAATTACCAAGGGAAAATGAGTCCTTCACCGTGGAGAATCCTGGCAGATACCACCTTAATCAAGTGATCAAAGTGAACACCATCGGGAATGGGACCAAAATCAAAATCGAGTGCCTCCTATAGGGAGTGGTGGGAAGAACTGATCCTCACTTCTGTTATGTTCCTGCCAAAGATGCATAACTGAGTCTAATCATAAGGCAACATTCACTGGCCCAAATGAAGCAACAGTCTTCCAAAGTGTCAATTCCCTTAGAGTTCCAGCAAGAGGAGATGAACAGACATGACAACAAAACAGCAGCTGTTTCTGAAGTGAACCATTTTGTCAAAAAAGGACACAGTTGAGATGATGAGAGAAATGTGACCAGCACCTGAGGATTAAGTGGCCATCAAGTGTCATGCTCTTTCCTGATCTGGAAGCTTGACACGTGGTTGTGCAGAAAGAAGGGCGTCCTTTTTGTGGGAACCACACACTAAAGGGCTCAGGGCTGATCAGCTTGGTGACTCACTTCCAAGTAGTTCAGGAAAAAAATTCTTGTACCTTTGCTATGCATTTGAGATCATATCAAAATAATTTTTTTTCAAAAGAAGTAACTAACCTTTTCATAGGGTATCTTCAGAAGATCCAACACCACCGAATGAGCTCCCATATTTTTCAGTAATCGTTGATGCTGATTCCGACACTTTTTATTCTGGACACAGAGTTTACTTAGTCTAATCAAAATCTTTAAAAAGAAGAAAATCATTAAATGTAAGGTCTATAACATTAACTGTAATACACAAACAAAAGTCACTTGCCACACAAATACAACCCCATATGAAAATATTTGACATGGACTGACCTCCTTCACAATCCAGTAGTTATTGCTCTTATTGCTGTCAATCTGAGGTTTCCTTGTTCCATCCTGCACTGGACTTAAAATGCTTGAGTCCTAAAGTAAACACAAGTATATATTTTTATCCCATGCATAGCTTCGTAAAAAATTTATTTTGTAGTAAATAATAAATGTTTGATAATTACTTTGTAATTTGTGATTCAACTTAAATGTTTCCTTCCTTTTTTTAAGATTTTATTTATCTATTTGACAGATAGAGATTACAAGTAGGCAGAGAGAGTGGGGGAAGCAGACTCCCTGCTGAGCAGAGAGTCCAATTTGAGGCTCGATCCCAGAATCCTGAGCTCATGACCTAAGCCAGAGGCAGAGGCTCAACCTACTGAGCCACCCAGGTGCCCCTAAATGTTTCCTTTGTACTTTTTTATCCCATAAAAAGTTCCTTGGCTTGAGGGAGTCAGGCAAATTACCATTTCCCAATAACAACCAAATTACAAGATAGATGGTATTACTAATAATTAATGAGTTAAGTAAAAAAGGAAAAGTTATTACACATAATATTAGCAATGTATTTCCCTATGCTAAATATACCAGACATATCATTGCTTTATAGAGCTGACAGGAGAAGGAGTAGTAAAAGTCCAGGGGATAAAATAAGTAATTTTGGGGCACCTGGGTGGCTCAGTGGGTTTAGCTTCTGCCTTCGGCTCAGGTCATGATCTCAGGGTCCTGGGATCGAGCCCTGCATCGGGCTCTCTGCTCAGTGGGCAACCTGCCTCCTCCTCTCTCTCTCTCTGCCTGCCTCTCTGCCTACTTACGATCTCTGTCTGTCAAATAAATGAATAAAATGTTAAAAAAAAAAAAAAGAAAAAAGAAGTAATTTTATCATCAGGGTTAAACTATAGGGGGAAAAAAGGTGAAGAAGAATATCATAACAGCTGAAAAAAACATTTCAGGGATGGAATGTAAGAACAGTTTAACCCAAGAATTCTCTACCAGATTACCATGACATCCTTAAGAGTCATGACTTGGGACCAGCCAAGCATGTACAGAACCATGAAAATGAAGAAAGGAAAATAAAATTTAAATTAAAATTTTAAATTACTAAATTGATAAAGCTTATTAAGAGATCCTGAAATGCCAACAACATTTCACTGTAACAACCATTATCTGTAGCAGTACAATAAAAAAACAAATATAGAGAGTGACATATTTTAAATATCAACTCTTATAATTACTAAATAAAAATAAAACACATTGGAAATAATTTAATGCATGAGCATTTATGAAGACTTAATACATGCCTGGTACTAGACAAAGGTGAGTGGCTCTAAAAGAAATAGGATAGGGGCACCTGGGTGGCTTGGTGGGTTAAAGCCTCTGCCTTCGGATCGGCTCATGGTCCCAGGGTCCTGGGATCGAGCCTCACACCGGGCTCTCTGCTCAGCAGGGAGCCTGTTTCCTCCTCTCTCTCTGTCTGCCTCTCTGCCTACTTGTGATCTGTCTGTCAAATAAATAAATAAATAAAATATATTTTAAAAAGAAAGAAGAAAGAAATAGGATACGTGGTCATTTCCACAAGAAAATTACAGTCTAAGAAAATAAAGATTTGAACTGAGCAGAATTACTATTCAGAGAGAGAAAGGGAGAATAGCTCTAGCTTTAGACAGCTTTATGAAGAGGTCAAGTAGAAGCCAATGTCTTGAAAGATGAAAACCATTTATTTATTTAAGTATGAGAGACAGGAGGAGGGACGGGGGCACTTGTTAGGTAAAGAAGTCACTTTAGCCAAAGGTCCTGCAGAAAGAGCACATATAATAGTGTATAGAGAATGGTAAGAAGAGCCAGAGCATGTTGCAAGAGAGAGCACGAAGCAGAGTGGGACCTGATTGCTTTCCTGATTTAAAACATGTACAAAATAGCATGGGGATGAATGTTAAGTCCAACTTGAGTCAAAAACACACTGAACTCCTGACTATATTGACGGTATTGAGCTCTCACAGTTAAAGAGGACCCCAATCTAAGCTCAGGGAAAAGTAACAAAAACATGCAAATCCAATCAATGTAATTTCAGTTGTCCCAAGCTGTTCCTATGACAAATCACAAAATTAAATCAAACCAAGGAAAAGAAAAAAACTGCCCATGCTAGTCAAAGAATTCTGAGTAGAGAATCAAGGACTCTCCAGGTAGGAGAGTGGGCTGACCAGTACTGACCCATCACCACTCCTTAGCAAGCTTTGTATTTGTCTTTGCTTCTGTTCCAGGCCAATACTGGACCCAAGATAGAAGCCTCCAATCCCAATGCAACCTTAGCAAATAACCTCCCCTACCAATTTACAGAGCATATGAACATTTCCTCTTTTCCACCTGCAAATTCAAGTACCATCCACAAACTTACCACCCCTGCTATGTTTCAGAGGGAAAAAAAAAAAACAAAAAAAACCAAAAAACTTTTGATTAATGTATTTTTCAAATTCCACCTCCTCTGCCTCCTCTCCCTGCTTCATCTCTATTTCCTATGCATGAGTAGTTTCTGCTGTCTACTGATTCTTTCTCCTCTTTAAAAATATGGCTAAGTTGAGGTCAACCAAGCATTTTTCAGTGATATTGCCCATCCTTGGAAGGAGTCATGCATCTCAGCTTATGGCCCCACTAGATTTCTCAAAAGAATACTCTGTACCACAGTGTATTAAAATTGATTTATGTGCCAATGACTCATAATCACCAAAACTTCCCTTAGCATCTGATTCTGTAGTTCGCTATCATTTTCCTTAAGCCCCACTCTCTTTGTTTTATCGTGCCATTGATAGTCTTCAAAATTACTCTATCTTTCTGACCACCTTGTCTCTTTTACTCAACAGAAATGGAACTGTGAAAAGTAAAGACCATGAACGCTGAAAACATTCCTAATGTTACTATGGGAGTCCAGGGTTGTGTCATCTATCCATCCTAGGAAATGCTAGGAGGGAAAGGAAAACCGTCCAACCTCCACGGCAGGTAAATAAAAGAGAAAAAGGAATGCGAGAGATTGCCTGTGAGACAACAAACACTAAGTGAATCCTAGAAAGTTGTAGAAGAAAGTGTAAGCTACATATCTAAGAGAAGCCAGTGCAGTACAGGAAGGAGCCCAAGTGCTGATACGAATGGAAACTATTTAGATGGAAAAAGACAGCAGGTTGGAGAATGAGACAAACAGGGTTTCTATGTGATGACAAAAATTATTGATGAGAAGTAGAAATTGCAAAACCTAGAAATATAATGAAATTTCCTTTTTCTGATCCCAAAGGTGGCAGTTGAAATTTTAAAAGGCCATGTTCATTTTTTTTTTTTCTGGAAGAAAAGAAATATTAAAGAAAATCAAGTTTGTACTACAAAACAGGATTAAGATATGACTAAGTCTAAAGATTGACAAAGCTCCTACAATGGAAAGGAGATGTTTCTTGATATATGTCACCTTTAAAAAAAGTCAGTTGAAAACACAGGCAAAGCTTTGGCAGATATATTTAAGTCTATTTTTCAAACAATGACCTGAAGATAAAGCAACTGTCTTGCTTTAAGAAAAGTCATCTTGGGCAAAATGTACTACATTACAAAAAGCTATGCTCTCTAGGTCAGCCCAGGGGAAGATACAGACAATGCTAAATTCCATAAGTATGGGAATTATGAAGAATAATTATTTTAATTTAATATTGCCAGCAGTCAACAAAAGGAGGCAGCACTGGAGAATTCAATAAGCCGCCCCATTCAATTTCAGAAAATAATTCAATGTAATTAAATGGAACAAAAATATTAACCCACAGAACATCTGGATGATTCCAAAGCAGATCAAGAGAATTTAAGAAAAATGTAAACTATGCAATTACAGTTAGGTTTCATTTTCTTCTTTTGATGCCAAAATGCTCTAAGTAAAGGTATTCCAAAAGCTTTCCTCCAGAAAGGGCAAAAATTGACTATATTTTTTATATTCTATGTAACTTTGATCTTAGGTCAGTGGCCAAATCTACAAAGCCCTGCCTTCATTTTCATGTCAAAATATTAGTAAGGAACAAAATGCAGAAGTATAACTTATGCAGAATTCCAGAGCTGAGTAGACTCGTAAAAAAATGCATAACACTGGGGCGCCTGGGTGGCTCAGTGGGTTAAGGCCTCTACCTTCGGCTCAGGTCATGATCCCAGGGTCCTGGGATCGAGCCCCACATCAGGCTCTCTGCTCGGTGAGGAGCCTGCTTCCCCCTCTCTCTCTCTGCCTGCCTCTCTGCCTACTTGTGATCTCTGTCTGTCAAACAAATAAATAAATCTTTTTAAAAAATGCATAACACTGAGAATGGTGCCATGCATGCAGTAGGATACAACTGAATTATCCTTTTGACAACTGTGATGAAGAATCAATATGGCACTCCAAAAGTATTTGCACTTTATTATAATTATTTCCTGTCATCTGGAAGAATTTGAACTTATTTCTTCTAATGGAATATGGGAAACCACTTAGTTCAGTGATTTCATAGAGGCAGCTAGATTTTTAATTGCATAGCATCTACTGTGACATAAACCAGTAGGTTTAGAAACCATAAAGCAAGAATGGTCTAGAAGGATTTAGATATTTCTAGAAGAGTCTAGAAATTGGATGGGTAGCAGAGTTCTAGGCAGAGACTCAAAGAGTGAATACCTAAACAAATACTTGTTCAAAATATAGCTACCCCAAATTTACTTTGAGTCAGTCAAGCAAACATTTATAGCAATAGCAAAAATCATATAGGGAAGTGATACTGTATGAGCTATATGGCGAACTAAATATTGGCACCAATTAATGGGAATCTGGCTCCTTAATTTCAACAAGGGCCATCATGCTTATTAAAAAAAGAAGAAGAAAAAAAAGGACTTTTTAAATCCCAGGATGTAGAACTGCCTGCATCCACAGCTGCATGATTAAAATAGCTCAGTGCATGTCTTCTCTTTGTCCCCACCCCAGTGAAGTTAAAAGATGTCCTTCCTCAGCAATGTTGTCAAGTCAGCAAGTCTGCCAGGCATTCTGCTCTCCATCTCTGTCCCTTGCCTTTTCTTCCTGTAACCATTATTTAACTCAGTTAGTGGCATCACTT